ATATCTACTAACACTGAATGTATAGGTTTATAGGAAATTATAGGACCTATCATTTCTATAGGTAATTTTTTTGGATCTCACATAATCTATACAGGTATTGGTCTCTAAAAATATTGCTGATTTTCAGTTTAAGTGGTATTGAGTGTTAAAAAACGCAGTTAACTGTAATGTAAGTCAGCTACTGCTTCTGACTGTTTTAAAGAACAGTTAAAAATCCATAAAATCTAAATAATGGTAACAGTTTTCTGTCTGGCTCACTTTTAAATTACAGGGTAAGATTCAATTTGGTGTCATTTTAATAGAAGAAAATCTACATCAGCTTCGGAAGGCATTACTTTAGCACTGAGTAGCAGCATTAAAGAAGAATGGGTTCATTAACTTTATTAAAGCAAACTTAAATATCATTAAAAAACATTTTTCAAAATTATCCCAACACTGAATTTGATGAATATCACTGAGCACAGCTGAAGAGGGGAGGAAAGATGGCTCCTGTCCTTCTCTGTTCAGTGTGGCGTTTAGCAGAGAGTCAGACTTCATTCTGCTCTCGTCAATCACAGTTAATCAGCCACCCAGAATCCTCTCAGCAGGCGCTGCGACTCTGATCACGGCTAACGCTCTCCAAACAAACAGCCTCTTCTACAGAGTGGACTCTCTAGTAATATTATGTTTTTGCCCGTGTCCATATCAAATGATCCATATCAAATCAAATATACCACGGTGATATACTACTGTCAGTCCGAGCACTCGGGGACATTCATGGATCTTCTATACTGGATGATAAACAATGATAAAGGGCTACTTTATAGTCCCCGACACAAGAGGTCACAGGTCCAGTCCTATATGACAGCTACTGTTATTGTTTCCTTACTTAATACGCTTTTATCTCAAGCTGCTCCGAGCGAACACATCTTAACAGTTAGTTAACAGAACTGGCTTTGGGCAGATGAGTCAGCTAAATGACGAAGTCCAAATGATCACTGCTGCACCACGGAGAGCTGAATTCACAGGACCAGGCCATACAGAGACGAGCCGAGCAGTAAGGAGAGTAAATAAAGCTTACATACGTCAGACCACCAAACCTCACAGTGATGGCAGAAACAGTCAGTATCGCCAGGTGTGTACTGACATATGTACCTTCCCTTTTACATGGTTTTACGATATTACCACAACACTGTATTTTCAAAAAACAACATCTTTAAAGATGTTTTGAATGTAATTGTGAATGTGTGCAACATTTACATTAAAATATCACTTAAAAAAAAACCTGTCCATATAATAATAATAAATAATCACTGTGCATTATCATTATAGGACTATTTGCAGTTGGGACCGGTGTTGAGATCCCAGCCGTAGAGCCCTGTAACCTTTTTTTTTATTTAAACCAAGAGCTGTGAAGCTGTTCCAACATGAAATAAAGCAAGAACATTTTGTAATGTACCACCATAAAAACGGCATTTATTATAAAAATTAACATGACGCACACATCACTATGTAACTATGCGCAAAATCTTACTTAATTAGCAGCTTTTCATCATCAAAAAACACCTGATAACGATAATTTCTGTTAGGATAAAAATTGGATTTTCAATTGTGCCTTATGGCTGAACAATTTGGGGAAAAAAATCTAATTGCGATTTTTCTCGTTAATATTACGACTGTGATTTAAATCGTTATTACTTTCTGTAAACTGAAGTCTGGGCCTTCAGAAAACCACAACGTCCACTTTCTCTGGTTTAGCCTTGAACACTGAACATACCAGACTGCCAATTAGATGTGGCTGTGATGTCACAGGATACAAGTGTTTGGTTGCTTCTGATTGGTCTAACTCATCTACACGCAGTTCAGAAGCCCTGATATTAAGTTAATGTTCCCTAATTAAGGCAACATTGTTGGTAATAAAGGCTATAATTAAAATTGCAGCTGTTACAATTAGAAAATTGCACTCTTTTTAATTGCGATTTCAACATAAAACCGATTCATCTTTCAGCCCTATTGTGCCTCAGCATCAAGCTAATGGTGGTGGGTTGTTCCCCACGACACTAGGTTCAGTACTACACTGCTCAAGTCTACAGATGAACAAAGCTCCTAACAGAGCTTACAGTGAAAGCTTTCAGCAAATATTTCAACTTAAAACCTAACTGTGGATATTAGTGGATTGGCCTGTTAGCCCATTAGCAGTCTGCTGAGCTGCTTATTAAACAAAACCGGGTTCTTAATGAGGGGTCAGTATTCTTCTGTGCCTTTTCCTTCATTCACATGAAGTTTGTGACCGCAAACAAACACGTGAGCACTGTTTCCTTCTTCAAGCCGGGCAGCGAGAGGTGAGCTTTCATCTTTTAGAGGTAGGAAAATTCCTCTGTCTGCTCCCCCTTCTGCTGTGCTGTGGCTTTTGCGATTGTTTATAGGTTCCATATCATGTGATCTGAGCATCGAAGTGCAGGACACTGATCTGCACGTATAAAAAGTCTCGTAACTTGTTTAACCAAACTGCAGTAACGGTGTCCACCGTACGTGATTAAAGGGGACCTATTACGCTCATTTTCACGTTCATTATTTTATTTCTGGTCTACTAGAATAGACTTATATGCTTACATTTTCCAAAAACACATTATATTTCTCATTTTTCTGCCCATCTCCATTCATCTTCTGTCTAAAATGCTCTGTTAAAGCTCCTATGTCTTCAAGCCCCACGTGCTCTGATTGGTCAGCTCGCCCATTCTGTTCTGACTGGTCAGCCGCCAGAGCAGCTCCTGTCCTGCAGTCTTCTCTCCTGAGCAGCCGTAAACTCCGCTGTGGCTGTTTCTCCAGCAGCGTCGGTTCTGCCGTATCAGTTTGACCCAGAGTGGATCCTGAAAGTCCGGTCAGCGTCTTCTCCACACGGCTACTACACTGAACACACTCCTCCTCCTCCAGTAGCCGCTGTGCGCTGTGTGAGGGTGCCAAGCTGGCCGGTAGGCAGGCAATAAGGACTGTGTTATGAGATGATGTCATGTTGTAACAAAGGAAAAGGGCTGGAATTCCAACGAGGCGTTTCAGGCAGCTGAGAAAAGCGGATTCTGTGGGAAAGAGTTTCTCCCTCTGGAGGGAATGCTGAGCTTTGGGACTTTGCAGAACATTTACACGCACAAAAAGCTACAACACACTAAAAAAAAGGGAAAAAACGTAAAAACATAATAGGTCCCCTTTAATATTGTGATATACCGAACAGCCGAATACCAGCGCATGTCATCCAACTCATTTGAATGCAAGGGCGCATACAGACTCCCACAGGATTTTCTGGTGTAAATTGATTATCTTTCCGTTTTCCAGCGACTTCAGTCGGCTCTGCTGCTGTTTCTCCAGGGAATAAAGTCTGCATGGAGCGTTATCAAGCACCTGTCTCCATTCTCACACACTGACGGCTTTGGATGACATCACATTTAAAGGAAGCGTCAAACCAATCTGCTCACTTTCACCTCAACACATTACAGCTCTAAGGTTCAACTGTGCCATTAATTGAACCTGACGTTATGACCTTCCGGACCTCGCTGAGCTCCAGCACTGTATGGATTTGTTCAGCTCCATCAGCAGCACCTGATTTAATGTACTGAAGTACTGATCAGATAAACTAGGTACTGCTTGGTAACAGCAGACGCTGGACCTTCCTTGAGGAGAGCTTCGGAAATTCTAATACTGCACTCTTGAAAAAGATGGCCCTTCAAGGGTTCTTTAGTAAAGGGAATGGTTCTATTTAGAACCCTGACTTCTATTGAGAATAATTTAATGCTTAACCGGTTCTTTGTATAGTGAAACGGTTCTTCTGATTAATGGAGAATCTGTTATATATGGATCTACATAGCACCATTCTTCTATTGTTACAAGCATGACAATGTAACAATAGCAGAACCTTTATTGGTGCTATAAAGAACCATATGCAACATATGGAACAATTTTAATGCTTAAATGGCTTTTTGCATGGTGAAATGGTTCTTCAGATTTATGGAGAATATGTTGTATATGGTTCTAAATAGCACCAAAAAAAAGGTTCTTCTATTGTTACAAGCTTGACATCATAACAATAGCAGAACCCTTTTTGGCGCTATAAAGAACCATATAGCATATTCTCCATCAATCTGAAGAACTATTGAAGCATCTAAAGAACCATTTACATATGCAAATGGTTCTACATACACCTCTAAAAACAGAGCTCTTCAAAAGGTTCTTTGGTAAAGGTTCCATATAGCACCATGAACACTCAATGAACGCTTTGCATGATAAAATGGTTCTTTGTAAAGGGTTCTATATAGCATATCTATATATAGTTCTTCTATTGTTATGATGTCAAGCTTGTTACAAAAAAAGAACCCTTTCTGATGCTATATAGAACCCTTTTCAAAAGGGTTCTATATACAACCATCTACAGCACATTTTCCATCTGAAGTACCCTTTCATGACGCAAAGAACCCTTTATAATCATGCAAAGGATTCTTTGAGTGTTCATGGTTCTATATAGAACTATTTTCTTTAATAAAGAACCCTTGAAGAACCATCATTTTTGAAAGGGCTTCTATATAGCAACAAAAAGCGTTCTTCTATGTTACAAGCTTGACATTGTAACAGACAAACCTTTTTGGTATTATAAAGAACCCTTTTCAAAAAGGTTCTATTTAAACCCATATGTAACACATTCTCCATCAATCTGAAAAACCCGTTTATGATGCAAAGAACCCTTTAATCATGCAAAGCGTTCTTTTAATGGTTCATGGTTCTATACAGAATCATTTCCTTTGCTAAAGAATCCTTGAAGAACCATCTTTAAGAGTATAGTGTAACAAATAAATGCTTATTTCTTAAACAAACAGCTTTACGTATCAGTTTCTCAGCTGCCTAAGATGCACAGTGTTGTATATGTCTGCAGTTCTATAGAGAAACAGTTAAAACAAGTGTTTCCATCATTGTGTGTTAACTGTGCAGCTTTAATGCGCTGTGATTGACAGCATTAGCTGAGAGATGATGCTCACCGATGGGCACGGAGGAGATCTGAGTGTACAGATCCAGCATTCGATTTCCATCAGCATCCACCAGGTAATTCCCCCGGCTCTCCTCGTAGTTGCAGAAGAAATTAATCGCACCAACATTCTGGGAAATGAAAAGAGAGCGAAAGAGGGGGAGGGGGGGTGAGAGCTCTGTATTATGCTGGAGCCTTGAAGCTATTTTTACTGCTTTGGAGAAACTGCATCAAATTGTGTAAAAGCCAATATGCACTTTCAAAACACAAAACAAGTTACGTAATCTGGTGTGAAGCTGAAAGAAGGTTTTGATACTCAAAATTCAATGAAGCTTTAACAGTCTGTACATAAAATAATCTTCATATCATTGTTGTCGAAAACCTTGTATCTCCAAAATGGTAACTTTACAGGAGAAAGAAAAAACCTACTGTACTTTCAATGTAAGTCAATGGAACCAGACATTTTTCTAAGTCATTTTGGGTCGTTTCTTTTGGTCCATTCATTATGAAATTTACACACAATGTAAAAGGCAACAGGCATTTTCAGATTATGACACAAACTGAAAAACGATAAAAATGGAGATACAAAGGTTTTGTTCCAACAGCAGCGATTTGTTGGCTCATGAAGCATAAAGACTATACAGGCTTCAGGTTCCAGCAAGAGCAGACAGTGAAAGAGTTCACAAACTGGTACATGCAGTTCTTTCTGCTTCCTTCTATTGCAATAAGAGCAATAAACTCTATGATAGCAGAGTAATAAATGCAATTGCATTATAATGACAGACAGTCTGTACGTTTGGCAGTTCTAGGAGGAGAACAGTGTTGGAACAGGTCCATGTTGCGACATGCCTCGCAGCCACACACCAGTTTAAACCAGTCCAAAACATTACATAACCTACAGTAGTGTACAACGGCTGCCTCTCAGTGCTCCCTCTCTCTTTCTCTCCCTCTCTCTCTTCTCCCAGTCTGCTTTAATATGCGCACATTCAGAGCCAGACAGGCTGCATCAGTGATTCACAAAGAGACCGAAACCTCACCACATACATAATCCACTTGCATTAAAAAGGTAGACAATAAGCAAAATATATGAAAAAATAAGCTACAGAGAAAATGGGGCTCCTAACAACTACCTGGAGGACCTGGTCAGACACCAAAACTGCCCCCATCAGATAAACAGCACTTAAAGCTTTCATCTCTGAGAGAGAGGAGAAAATCAAGCTGCTCAGATCTGAAAACATCCACGGGTGTTTCTGTCCATCCTTCCACTGTGAGAAGACGACTCAGCGCTGTGGGTCTGAAAGGATGTGTAGCTGTCAAGAAGAACCTCACTGAGAAAAGGAGACGGACACATCAAACAAAGAAGCTGAACGATGGACTGACCACCCCAGAGTCCAGACCTCAACACCACTGAATGTGTTTGATTACTTCAGAAAATGATCAACCAGCTTCTAAGACTGAACTTTGGAGGTGTGTCTGCAGATTCTTTGAGGAACTGAAAGTGAGTCTCCTGAAAAGACAAAAGTGTGGAAAATTTTGATATGTTTAATGAAGCCTCTGTGTACACAGCACTCAAAAAAATGAGTATCTTGTACTTAATGGCTGTTTTGGACATTAAACAAATGAATAGTGGATTCTGGCTTCAAATAATCTGTGTACAGTACTGTGCAAAAGTTAGACACCTAAGCACATTATTTAAAGCCATTTATCTGTCAATAAAAGAATAATTATCAAAACAATGTTATTAACGTGCTATTTTCAAAAATATTATTTCCTTAAATGTTTTCTTAACCTTTTGACAGCCTCACACTCGTCTCAGACTGTAAGAGCTGATGAGGTCATCCTCGTCCGTCACTCCACAATTATCATATTTTCTAATGAGGATTTTTTTCTGTTGGTTGTTTAATCCACCATCACCTCTAGTGCTTGTTTGCTATTTGTCTCTCTCTCTCTCTCTCTCGACACCTATCAAAACTCTTGGTTTGATGTTTTACCTCCATTTAACTCCTCTGGGTGGATTAAACTACATAATGGAAAACAGTTAATACAATGCATCTCGCACTGTTAATTTTATGGGGTAACATGCAACGCAGCCTAAATATGAAAACGATGTGGATTTTCTTTCGAAAAATTACATTTTAGGACCAAAGGCACCTACACTGTTAGAAATAAAGGTTCTGTGCAGGTACAATTTTTGCTCATCAAGGTACAAACAGTGTAAATGTTCCCTCAAAGGTACAACAGTGGTTTTAAGGTCTGATTGTGAACCTTAAATAAGTTTTTCCAGGTGAAAAGTTCGTATTTGTATCTTTTCATAACCGAATGTTTTAAACAGAACAGTAAAATAAAAGCCTGGAGACGAGACGGGGTGTGTGGAGTCAGTACAGCTTAGACCATATCATTTCAGTGGATTATGGTTCAGTTATGTTCCCTGACTGAAAGGTACTGAGATGGACACTTGAGGGAACCACCCCAGTGACAAGAGGGGACAGTTTACTACCTTTATTTCTGAGAGT